TGCACCGAATGTTATCTGGTATCTAGTTAATTACGAACGAGGCGGCAAATGAATTTATTAATTGAAAAATAATAGGTCTTGGGATTTCATACCAGTTATTAGGCGTTATATCCTGTCCATTCTGTTGTAAAATATAATATAATTAGTAAATTATGTCTCATCTATAACAATAATTCTTAATGCGATGAGTTTATCATATAATTTACTGTTATGAACGATTAAAAGCACTAAAAACCGACATAAAACTATGGAACGGTAGTTCCTTTCATCCTGTATGAGTGAAACAATCGAATAAAGATTAAACAGGTAGATTTTATCACTTATATTTTATAGAATAAAATCATTAAATAAAGTTAGACTTGAATGGTTATTGGCGGTTAAAGAATCAGGTTTTTTTTTTTAACCTTATCACCGAGCAATTAAGCTTTGTCGTGTAAAGTAATTGTTTCAGATTATAAAATCGTTTCATTGCATCGAAGGGGATGCTAGAAGAGGATATAATGTATTGATACAATTTATACAACAGCAGGTGGTACTGTTAAACCCAGGGCTTGATACGAAAGTTCTGCCAATTTCGTTTGAAAGCCGATCTAAAAACTGACTTTTATTCTAAGCTACTCAAAAAACGACACATCACTATCACGTTTAATTCATTGGATACAAATTATAATTCTAATCTAAGCTCTATTACTGTTTATTTTCCATTTAACGGAATTTTTTTTCAGAAATTGAATAAATAAAAGTTAAACTTTTACCATAAATCTGGAAGTTTATTACAAAAATGTTCCTTAGAACTTTTATTTTAATAACTTTGGTAAAAAGGAACTTTTTATTTCTAACATTTCGCCAATTCAGGCATCATCAGGGCAGAAAAAACAATACCACTTATATGCTGAAAGAAAAAAACAAAAAAGAAAAAGAAGTTATTATTACTGTAGATATCTCACTAAGCCATCCAGTTATTAAGGATTACATACTGAAGGAAATAAAGGTTCTAGAAACACAATAATATAAAATAAAATTAATAAAAACTAAAATTTAAAAAAATAATATAAAATAAAAAATAAATAATATAAAATAAAATATAAATTAATAAATTCAAAAGAAAAAGCTCGAAGATATATATAACATCTATTCCCAACAAGACCCAGTGGATACTGAATTTAACTATTCATTTTTATGTTAGGATTTTTTCCAATTATAATTATTCTTTACTCTTATTACTATTTATCTTGTTACTGTTTTTATTCACTTTTATTACCCTTTCACTTTTATATTTATCGTTTTTTTAATGTTATTTTATATTTTTTAATTTTTAGCCTTGATCATGACCCACACGTTTGGGTCGAAACGTTGGCTAACCCATTATTGAAATTTGTGACTGAAAAAACCTTACAATTTTTTTCATCCTGTTTTTTTTTTGTTTTTTGTGAAGTTTTAACTATTGATTAACTTATTGATAATTAGGACTCACCCAATTCAGAGGTATATTATATGCTGAAGAAGTGGGCAGAGATTCCCCGAAACGTACATTAATAGAGAATAATCAACAATTTATTGAATCTATTTATTTATTGAATCGACTTCAAGACAAAAAATATTGAGAAGATAAACGCTTCATTGTTTCACATTTCAATGTACGAACTGTTAATAGTTTTATTATTTTCAGCTCAGATATTATTATCTTTAAAATTTGTCTCCCTTTTTTTTTTAACGTTTGTAAATTAAATTTAGTTATTTGATTATTTTTCTATATCGTTCACGTAAAATATTAATAACGATTGTTTTATTGTTTTCCACCTTCATGATTTTTGTTTAATTTGCAAACCAAATTCGGGCAAATTTTTTTTTTTTTTTAATCTGGCGCGGATATATCACACAGCTATCACTTACCAGGCTACTTTTAGTAAATATTATTTTTTTATAAAAGTTAATAAATTATGATGATTCTATACAAAAAATATAGTTTAAAGATGGGCAGGGTATAGGCACCAATTATTACCCTTTCAATGGCTGATTAATGTGCCTTTGAAAGTACGCCAAGATTGAATTCAGTGTCTACGGAGACGTTCATTTCCCATTCATTAAGATAAAATAGATTTTGAAGAAAAATTTGATGTAACATAAGGCTTTTAATTACTTAAAATTCATAATTAAAATCTCTTATAACTTCTCGTTTTTGAGCTAGACTGTTAAACTGATATCAACTCAGGGATTATTCAAACGTGTATTTTCGTTGAAAACTCGGGTTAGAAATTTTTCATGATCGCGATACTTTCCTATACTTTTGTATATACATATATACTTCATAAATGGGCTAGTGAAAATAGAAACGAATGAAAAATAACAAATAACCACTATTCATTATTCGCGAATACTTTTTTTTTATTAGAAAAATTCACGTTTTTTTTTATTAATGAATACAATTTTGTAATATAAACTCAATACATAATAATTATTTAATATGTAAATTTTAGAGTATGTCATACCTTAATTTAAAAAAAAAAATCTCATTTTTGTAGTTTTGGGGTTTATTCATATATTTCGTCTTGCATTCCAAATAATATCAGTAAAGAGACTGATGATATTTTCTAGGTTCTGGTTAAATGTTGTAATATAAACTATTAAGCTAAGTATTTTAAACCCAGTTTAATGATTTACTGATAAATTCTTCTTAAAATACTCAATAAATCCAATTAAAAAATAAATAAATAATTTAAAATAAAAGTAGATCATTTATTTAAATAATATTAAAAATTTACATAAATAATGAAAAGTGTATGTAATGTTAGCAAGGATTCCTTAATACAATCTCCATTTTTTTAAACATATATTTATTTAAATTTGCGACTGTATAATTAGTTAATGTGAATTCCTGTAATAGAATGGACAGACTTATAGAGAAACTACCCATTGGTAGTACTCCAATAGTAGTTCTATATTAGAAGGTCCCGAGGCCATCTTCTTTTCAGATGCCAAAAAGGAGTCTCAGAAATTGAAGAGGATGTAGGTTATAAAATGGAAGATTTGGATTGGCCTAAAGTTTATTATGGAAGGATAAGTAATATCTAAACCTGATGTATATTCATATAACGCATACTCAATAGTAAATATTGTTGGGTTAACCGTCTCACTGCTCATTTTATTTTTTTCTTCTTAGTAGGTAAGTCAGAGTAAAATTAATTGCATGGAAGCAGTCAAGAAACTAAGTTATTACTGCACTTTATACTGTTTGCCTCTACCATAGGGGTACTATGGGACCGAAAACAGTAAAAATATATACCCACTTGGTAAGTATGAATGAAAAAACACGATTCATACTTTTTTTTACTTCAACGTATATTTCTTTTGATTTACGCTGGACATTTATAAAAGTAAAAGAGGAGTAGAGTGAAAGCATTTACAACTACCTTCCATTCATGTTTGTGGCCTGGCAAATCCCACCTCGGGTCGATCACGAACGATTAGGTCCACGCGCAGCAAAGAATACATAAAGAGAGCTGTCAGAGAGATATGAATCACTTGGGCACTATTAGTATGTGGTGGAGCAGCCATCCGTTGGCACCATTTCCACCATTGACGTGGCCAAACTACCGCTTCACATAATACCCGTATGTAGTTCATTCCGAAGACGGCATCTTACAGGATTTCGCAAACCAATACTTTTGTCGGGAATGGAAGTTTCCATTTCAATGTAATAACTGATACGTGGGTATGTGGTCAGGTTTTCCTTATTGAAGGAAATAAAAGCGAAAATTGTTATAGAGGTTCCAACAGGATTTGACTGAAATATCTAAAAAAAAAAATAACTTTAAGGTAACGTAATTTGTAGTCAATTAGACACAGTAGATGGTCAGTTATAGACTAGTAAAAAATGTTCTATATCATTGCCTCGTATAAAAACAGGGACGTAATTTACAATCTAAATCACAGGTGGCAGCACTAGCACTAGATCCTAAGGAAATTTACTACGTGCTCCAAGTAACATCCTAGACTCCAAGTAGGGCATTTGGGATATATTAGAGTTATTTAGATATACTATAATACGTAATTCTCGACTACGTGCAACTAATAAGCAAATCTATACGTAGCGGCATTGAACTACTATCTGCTCACTCCCGCTAAAACACTCCACATTTCATTAGTGCTACAGCAAGCGACATTTGCCTACAGAAAGTTATACGATTTATCGAGTGTACCATATTTAACACACTTATCTTAAATAAGGTTCTCGACTTTTAATAGGCTTACAATACTTAGAACTGATTGCATGAATACACCTCTTATATTTAGCCTCAATCGAATAAAACTAATAAAAAAAAACTGGCTGATATTATTTACAACTTAATTTTTCTTTCTCATAATCTCCTTCTTTTTTTTAATTGTATTTATTTATTGACTGTATAAAAGAGGAAATAAAAAAATAACATTCTTTCACTTGGATAATGTTTATAGTGAGGCAAGACTACATTCACACACACTATATATATATATATATATATATATATAAAATCTGAAATAAACAGAAGCAAAATAACAACTAAATAATAATCAAAAAGTATATTCAATAAATACAAATAAAATGACTTAAAGATAAGTAAACATACAAAAACACATACATACCTATATACACTATTTACAAATAGGCGAGGGAACTCCAAGGCAAGTATTGTATCTCCAAATATGGAGGGGAAACCAGGAATCCAGGAGATCCCTGCTCTACTGTCTCAATCGCGATTGGTAAGGTTCTGGTGAAATTTGGAGAAATTTTCTGGGATAAGTGTTAGGACAAATGGGATATTAAAGTCATGTAGAGCTTTGGGGCTCCACTAAACCATCGAATTCCTCTCGTATCCAATCTTTACAATCCAAAATCCTCAATGCTCCTTCCTTTGTCACAAATAAAATAATCCATAAAGACCGTAATGCTCCATATGTTTCCGATTTGGCCCAATCCAGATACCAATCCTTCCATAATAAACTTCAGAACCGCCGGAATCCTCTCGTCTCTAACCTTGCTTCCTCTTCTATCCCTGATAACCATCCGAGGCGTCTGAAAAGAAGATGGCCTCGAGATCTCCTATTGTAAATACATTTTGTTTTTAGAGTGCTTCCAGTGGGTAGTTTCTCAACAAGTAATTACATGAAATATATTGATTGATAATTTCAGATATGATCTCACTAACCAGAAATATATTCCGACTACATCCTATTTCCATCAATACATTATATTTCCTACACTACAGTTTTTATATTGCTGAATTAGTATTAATAGTGGGGGAGTTGTGTTGATGTTGCCGTAATGGTGGTTGAGAGCTGGCTGGGAGAGACGTTGGCATTGAAGGCGCTCCCTCCTCGACTTCCACCTCTCCTTTCTCACGGATCGCTGCTCATCACCACCAACCGCACTTTTATCCTGCAAAACCCATAAAATATGCTACAAAAATAATACAATGAAACGATGATAGACAAAACAAAGGCTAGAAAGAAGACAATGTCCATTTGTTTTAATTAAATTAACTTTTTTCAAAAATTATTATTTGGTTTAAAAATATGCAACAAAAATAATAAAATGAAACGATGATAGTCAAAACAAAGGTTAGAAAGAAGACAATATACATTTGTTTAAATTAAATTAGTTTTTTTTTTTAAATTATTATTTGTATTAAAAATATGCAACAAAAATAATAAAATTGAAACGATGATAGCCAAAACAAAGGCTAGAAAGAAGACAAATTACATTTGTTTAAATTATTTTTTTTTTTTTTAAATTATTATTTGGTTTAAAAATATGCAACAAAAATAATATAATGAAACGATAATAGCCAAACAAAGGCTAGAAAAAAGACAATATCCATTTGTTTAAATTAAATTAATTTTTTTAAAAAGCTATTATTTGTTTTAAAAATATGCAACAAACATAATACAATGAAACGATGATAGCCAAAACAAAGGGTAGAAAGAAGACAATATCCATTTGTTTAAATTAAATTAATTTTTTTTTTAATTATTATTTTTGTTGTAATACTGAACACATTAATTGGTATTATTTATTACATAAAACAAAATAATTTTGGTATAAAAAAAAAATTAAATTTTAAAAACAGATCCAAAAAGCTAAATATATTAATACTTAGTTAATATATAATTCTCGTAACATTTTTTACTTTCACTTACCTATATATAGTAATATAACTTTTTTTTTTTATTGAAATTTACAACTGTATCAAATGATAAATACAAAAAGTAAATATGAAATAAGTAACATAACATGTACAACATGAAGAGAAACTACCCATTGGTAGCCCTCCAATTATATTTCTATATTAAAAGGTCCCGAGGCCATCTTCTTTTCAGACGCCTCGGAGGGTCATCAGGAATAGAAGAGGAAGCAAGGTTGGAAACAAGAGGGTTCGGATGGTTCAGAAGTTTATTATAGAAGGATAGGTATCTGGATTGAGCTAAATCGGAAACATATGGTACATTAAGGTCGATATGGATGATTTTATTTGTGACAAATTAGGGAGCATTGAGGATTTTGCGAAGGATTTTGGATTGGATACGAGAGGAATTTGATGCTTTAGTAGAGCCCCAATATACTTTTTATTCTGAAACATTGAACTTCTTGGATTAGTCTAAAATATTTTTAGTTTTAAATATAACCCTTATGTTATAAAAGTTATATATATAACCTTTATGGCCCTCTAGACTAATCAATCATGCAGTGCATTCTCACACTCTTGTTAGAAGACCTAGATCCATGGTCTTGTCGTCATACTCTTATTGTAGATCTGGAGTAACCGCTTGTAGTCAAAATATAGTTATAGCCTAATTCAGTATATTAGATACCATTTGTAACCGACATTATAATAAAAGTGTTACTTATAAAGTCCCCACTGCATCCGATTCGTCAACTATCGGATAAGCGATATATAAACTATGTACCAAGAGAAACTATCGAGGTCGTGAGAAATTCCGAATCTGAGTTTTCAACGGAAATGCATGTTTCATGGTCCCCTGAGTTGAAATAACCAAGTCTCGCAAAGTCGTGTGTAGGAAGTGTGACATATAATTTTAAAAACTTGTGTAGCGCATCACAGCAGGCGCCTTTCGAACGAAATGACTTAAGTTTATAACGACTATATAGGAAAGTAGTAGTATTTGAGAATTCGCAACCATTCACCTTCGCTTCTTACGACTTGAGAAATAAAAAATTAGTGATTTAAGCGATTCCTTTTGTGTTACTAAAATGGACCTCTTCTTTTGTCTCGATAGCTGACCTGGATGTTTTCCTTTTATTAGGTTTAATTGAATATTTTAAATAACAATTCAAAGCCCTTCGTTATTAAAAGTTAGGGATATATTTATATTGCTCTATTTGATATAAATAATAATATGGAAAAGGGAATTTATATATATATTTATTATTGAGTTTGCTTCTACCTAATAAAGTCATTGGCACTAGCCGATACAGGATTTAATTTTTTTGGGGGGAGGAGGTTTCAGCTCGAAAGCTTTTTTTTCATTTATATAACGTTAATTATTTTTTTTTAAAAAAGGAAAGAAATTAACTACCTATATGAAATAGTGTTTAAGTGGTTCTTGAAGTTCTATTAAATGTAATTACACGAACAATAATACTTTAAGAGATAATTTTTAAGATTTTTTTTCTATAAAACATGGTTATATTTTGCCATTTAGAGGGGGGCGGGCTCGAGTCCGAAAGCCCCCTTTCCTCCCCCCCCACCGCCCGCCCCCCGTAGATCCGCCTGTGGTCATTGGAAATACATAACAGATTCCGTAAAGAGTATAATATATTTTAATTAAAATAAGGAATTAAATAACTTGTAATTCAGTCCATAAAGGACACCTTACACGGTCAATATTATTGGGTTAATATTGAGCTTCGTCAATATATTGAGCGTGTAAGGGCTACATTGGCATCAATTATATTGACGTCAATCGAACTGGGTTTATCAATTTTTTTTTTTTTTTATTGATGCTCCTTCAACATTACTGAAACAGTGTGAGTTCCACATTTCCGGTATCCCCTCTTGGCAATATGTTTGAGTACGTGGGTGATACTTTGTTTTACTTTTTATTTGATGGGGGGAGGGGGGTTAAACCACCTCCCGATTTTTTTTAAAAGTTAAAATGGCAATGTTTGGATACGTGAGTGATACTTCGTTACTCTTTTTTGGGGGGAGGGGGACCAATCCCCTCGGAATATTTTTTTAAACAATAAAATGTTAATATGTTTAGGTATGTGGGTGATACTTTGTTTTAATTTTATTCTATTCTTTTATTATTAGCAAATTCATTTTCACAAAGAAGAAAGATTACCTCTTTGGAAATCTCCTTCTTTGTGAAAGCAAGATCTTAACTGATATAATACAATTATATTGTTTAAATAATATTGAATAAGCCTATAAAGAAAAAAAGGAGCCCTATAAAAATAAAAAATGTTTATTTTACATCTAAATATTTCGTCATAAAGTTATATAATTATTAAAATGTTATTCAATTAGTCGTTTTTGTTCACATTTAATTAGTTTAAATAGTTTATATCGAGTTTACATTTAGTTAATTTAATTAGGTTACATTAAGTTTTCATTTATTTAACTTTATTAGTTTACATTTACTATACATTTAATTAGTTTATATAAATTTTATATTAAGTTGGTTTACTTAGTTTATTCATACAATTCCTTTTGTAATTAAAATTATTGCTATGTACCTTTTATTTGTTTATATTTTTTAAACCTATCTAAATATTATAATAATGTATTTTAATAATTTAAAGATTTGTATTTACTTTTAATTAGCAAACCGTTTAGACTTTTTCTATTATTTTATTTTGCTTCAAAGTTTGGGTTTTTTTTTTTTTTTCTGTTATACTGGCACATTATGCATTTCTAAGTATTGTTGACCTTGTTTCCCATCCTTGCCTTAAGCTTTATTGTTTTTTTTTTTTAATTTTTTGTATCTTTTAGTTTTTATGATTACTGTCTATCTGTCTCAGCTCTTTAAATATTTATATCCTGCTTTAAATCAATTTTAATAAATCAACTTAATATCTACCCTCGATAAAGGTAATGTAAACTACACGTAATATTGAATTGCAATACGTTGAAGACTATAATACCTGATAATGTACAAATGATAAAAAACAAAACAAAAAAAACAAAAAAAACACAGTAACTTACTTCTTCAAAATATTAAAGCATTGAACATAGATCTTGTCATTATTGTCGAAAATACATAATCCATATTTGGAGAATGGCGGTTATTGAGATAATAAACTCTTAACTGGGACAGGGATATTATCATATCTCAAATGTAATATAATTAACTTTTAAATCATATAAAGAATATATATATATATAGTTCTCTGAAAAACATATTCCACTTACTTATTATTTTATTTGTGAATTACGAAGTTTTTTTTATCACTGTATAGGATTGTTTTCGACCTATGATATTTGTTGGACCACATCGAAAATAGCATATTTATAGTTGTATGTGTAATTGATAAAAACAATTTTATCCACAATGTTTAATAAACTTCCGGTGAAGTTCCCAGTGACTTTACCATATTCCCGTATCAACGACCGGATAACCGGGGTGTTGTGAAATGCGTTTGGTCTGTTATTTTTAACTATTAAAATTATAGAAAATTGAAACATATGAATTTTAATATATTATTATAAACTTTATATATATATATATATATATATATATATATATATATATATATATATATATATATATATATATACACATACACGTATATGTAAAGAAGCTTCAGGTTCTAACGAATCTCCTCCTTTAAGTTAATTATTTATTTCATACATTTAATACATAATGTTGTATAAAAATAACCATATGGTACGGTTTGCAATTATTTCAAATTATTGTTGTTAAAGTGTTTAGTGTTGTGTTTCATTCTACATAAAAACTATAAAAACTGATTTTGTTTTGTAGGTAAATATAGTTTTAAGATTTGATGTATTATTTAATCTGAAATTCTTATTAATAAAGATCTTGTTTTGTAGAAGCGAAAGCAGTCTATAGTTTATCTACAGTTAACCCTAAACAAGATTATAAAACAGTTTTATAGTTTTTAAGTACAATGGAATACACCACTAAATACTTTAACAGCAATAATTTGAAATAATACAAACCACACTACCATATGGTTATTTTTGTACATCATGTGTTAAATGTATGAATTAAATAATTAAGTTAAAGGTGAGGATTCCTTAGAACGTGAAGCTTCTTTACATATATGTATATTTATGTATATATTTATATATATATTTATTCTAGGATGAAGTCCCTAAAGAATAACAGAATGTTACAGAAAAAAAAAATTAGTTCTGGCCAGAAGAACTGTTACAATAAACAGATAAAAAA